CAAACCCTCCTGTTTTCCCATGTAAATCTTTATTGCAGGACACTTCTTGTAAGGCTTGTATGCCTTGGCAAATGCATCAGCAAGTGCTTTCCTTATTTAAATTACATTTCCTTCAGGATCTGAAGGTTTTTGGGACATCTTTAAGAATTTTGCACTTCTCCTGGCGTGCTGGAAGAGCAGCCTGGTTTTGTTGGCTTTGCGACAAGTGTAAGCACAGGGGAGATGGAGGAAAGGGTATTTTTACCAGTGATAAGTGATGTGTTGTTAGTGTGTCCTGGTGTAGACAGAGGCATAAGGTCAGCAATTGTCTTTCTCCTCAAGCCTGTATTTCACTGTGCTTGACAGATGAGGCAGTCAGAGCATATTTGGTTGTTTGTGTATAAGGGACACCTCATTATATTTAACGAGCAGCATGGAACCAATACGAGATTTCCTGCAAGAGGTGGTGACTCACATATGATTCAAAATGAAAATAACACTCTAAATGATGACAAGAATAGTCTGAAATGTTAATTTTAAAAAGGGAAAGGCTCTTGGCCGCGTGTTATTCTCAGTACAGGTAACTCCCATGGTTAATGTGTACAAAAGCAAAGTTAATGGCACTTAGTTTGTTATCATCTTAGAAGAACTTGTCCCTGACACAGACTAAGGCAGATGTGAAGGTAAATGAAACTCGAATAGAAACAGGACTTTTCCATCCCAAAAAGATACTGCTGAAGTTCAGGGCAAGAACTGAATCATTTCACAAAGCAAGAGTTCAGATGAGTCTGTAGGGCCGGGCCTCTCTGTTTGTGCAACAATTATAACTGTAGGAACCCCCAGTGGCATTAAATCAACTTCCACCAGCAATTTCCCTTCCCCAGATGTTGCATCTGATTGTGCTTCATAAGCTGGGCAACTTCTGTTCTCTGAAACGCCCAATTCCCCTCAGCAAGCTGGATTTTCACTGGATTTGTTCTTCCCAAGTATACAAAGTGATTCTTAAGGTGACATTTACAGGCTTTGAGGACAGTAGACTTCTGAGCAGATGTTTGTGTGAATGCCATTGACCTTTACAGTTCTTCAGTTTATTCACTGAGTTAATTATTTGTTAGACAGTTGTTCATTAGCTCATGAATAAAGTTCCAGCATATTTCTTGGATTTTCCCATGACTACCAACATGAGAAAATATTTTTCTCCTCTGGCACATGTTTTAGAAATAATTTACTATTAATACTGCTGATAAGAACAATATTCTGATGATAGAAATAGCAAACATAAAGGAACTAATTATTACAGCACACACTGAAATTTCAGCTGAGAGTTATATAAAGTGATTTCTTTAATTGAGCTTTAATTGAGGAGCTTTAATTGATCAGTATTAGGTGGAGATGTTATTTTGTAGGAAGACTGAAATATCTCTCATTACCACATCCTATTTCAACAAGCATCCAATTATTTTTCCTGTTTGTATTTAGGACTGACCCCATTTTATACCATCAACCTTTAGTCTATAAACCCAACTGAATTCCAAGAAAGTCCAGCATTTTTTGGTCCCTGTGGTAGATTACTGATTGCCACTCCGGTGGTGCTTCCAACCCTGATGGTGACAAATCGATAGGAGTATTCAGCCACCTCATTCCCATGACAAGTTCTAATGAAATTTTCTTTGTCAAGAGTAATGGTTCCTGCTGCTGCAGAGTGACTGGGCCATTTATTCAAATATTCAAGGACTGCAACTCTCCCAAGAACCCCCTGTGAAAAGGAAAGAAAAGCAAAAGAAAGAGGAGAGTTCTGAAGGGATGCAGGGAAATTGCAACTTGCACAGGGTTGTAGTTGGAACAGACTGGCATCTCTCAGTAAAAATCTAAACCATATCCCTTGGGAGTTGCTTCTTCAAGAAATTAAATAGGTGAATTCAGTGGAAATTACTCCACATGCAGTATATCCACCCATGAAGGAGAGTCTTGTCAGTGCTGTAACTGTTGAACCAGGTGCTAAACTGGCATATAATTCCATGGCTTCTGTTTTATGTACTGAACTGAGCATCAAACCATCAGTTGCAGGTGCTTGGCATTAAGCAAAATGTTTTTTCTTTCCCCCTGTTCTTTACAAATGGGGAAATCATTAAGATACCACAAACAGCAGTGAATTATTGAAAGTGTTGGTGAAGTAACTCTTGACCTTTTCTTCTCCTCTGTTTACCTGCTTTCTACAGTGATGCTTTTGGCTACTCATTTAATCAGTCATTGCTGTTAGACACCAGGGGATGCTAAGACAGAGAGAAATCATCATGAAAAATCACTATTTAAAAAAAAAACCCCACAGTGAGATTTGAAGAATAAACAGTGTGAAACACACTCAGAGAAGAAGCACTCACGTTTCTGTGCCCAATCTACAGAAGCTTTTTTCTCCATGCAACAGACTGATTGTGCTTAGAAACAAAAACAAACTCCCTTTTCCAAAGTCCTGCTTGGAAATCTGGACTTGAAGGCCTTGAGTCTTACCACCCTGCAGCTTTCCTTTAGAACTTCACTTCTTTATAATAATGACTTCAATGTTGACTCACTGAATATAATTAGGGCTTTTCTTCCATTTGGGGATCTTTGGAAAGTGTAAGGATGACCTGTCATGGGAAAGGGATGAATTAATTGCTTAGGGGTCTGTGACTACCAAAACTGAGAGATGTAGATACTGAACAATCTGAAAATTCCCTTTTCCTCCTCCAACCGACAACGAGAAACAAAGTCATGGTGGATGGGGCTCAGAGCAAAGTGATGTGGTTGGATCTGTCCCTTCTTGTTGCAGGGAGCTTGGGCTGGTTTTATCAAAAGGTCTCTTCCCTCCCAACCCACTTCATGACACCAAGATACGTGAATGGGAATGTGTGGCTCGTTGGCAAAGAGCACGTGCCTGGGACTTCTCCCTGACGTCGTCAGCAGCTGCGGGACAACCGTGACGGTGGCAGTGACAGCTGGGAGCAGCTGAGCCTCGCTGCTGCTGAGCTGCAGAACTGCTATCCCCTTGTGGATGTGCTGATAGTCCCTCTTACTGCCCACAGCAGCGTCCCAGGCACGTGCCAGCCAGTCTGTCTGCTGTGTTTACAGCGTAAGTGATTTTGAAAGCTCACTGCTCTGGGCCTTTGCCTTTGGAACAGAATTCAGCTCTTGCCTTTTTATTTGACACTTCAAATGTTGTTTTTTTTTTTATCTTGAACTTTCTCATGAATTTTTATTAAGGAAAATTCTTTCGGGAGAGGAGTTGAAAGACAAAAATAGGGACCCGAGTGGCCTTCAGACTGAAAGATTAGAGAGAAATGGCAAAGCCTTTGGGAGAGATGGGAACTCTATCAGGGGGAGCCTCAAAAAGTTATCAAAATTGGCAACCTTGTGAGAAGGGATTCTCTGTGTGGTTCCCACTGCTCTTTGACTTCAGCATGACTAAAGCAAATGGGTGAAAACTTGAGTTTCCCTTGCTGCTGTTTGGTGTCAGATTTGAGAAGTGATGCTAAAGCTGGGAGAGGTAGAGCAGAGTTTTGTTGATGGGAGGCATCAACAAAGACAGCAGCAGGAGCAGCCTGTGGAGAATTTGGCTGATGGGTCCAGATTGTGCCACCAGGAAAACTCATCCAGCTTTGAAGTTTTATAAAAATACAGCCTGGGGATGGTGCTTTTGTTATGTAATGAGGTGTCAGCTGTTAAAGCAGCAACGTGGATGCCAGAACTGAGCAAGAAACTTCAGTTTTGAGAGTTTGTTCATTAAGAGAGCAAGGTGCTATCTGCAGAACATAACTGCCTTGTTGGAATCAGACATTGAATTCAACCTGTGATTTTTCTGGGGTGAAATTGTCAAAACAATGCTATTGTTTTGACATAGTAGTGACTGAAATCTTTTTCAATTCCACAGTTCCCAATGCATTACAAACCTGTACTTTTGTTGCTGTTGTTGGGGTTTGGTTTGGTTGGCTTGGGGGCTTTTTGGTTGGTTGGTTGGTTGGTTTTTTGTGTAGGTTTTCTTTGTGTTCTTTTTTGGTTTGGTTTTGTTTTGTTTTTATTTCCAAAAAAGGGGCCTAAATCAAGGGAAGAGCTTTGGGAGATGGGGAGAGGCTATTTTTGACCTTGGTAGTGACTGTGCTTGGAGAAGGGAGTTGCAGAGAAAGAGAGTGGAGCTGGGAAGTTGCATCTCCTGCAGAGAGAGCATTGAGAGGATCTGAAAGCAGAAGGGCAGAGAGAGCAAAGGTGTGGTGGACAGAGTTTTCCAGGGGCAAGAGGCCACTGTGAAGAGCTCACTGTGGCTCATAAAAGTGCTGAGTTGCCTGAAGCTCAGCTAGAAATAAATACTCCAGAAAATGTGGCAGGAAAAGCAAGGCTTGTGTCTAAACCACTTGCGCTTCGTTTCTTTCTGATGAAATTTTCTCAAAGGAGAAGAAAACCCCAACACAAAACACCCAACACCACCCAACCTGCTGGCTGACATTTTAAGTTACACCTGGGTTTTTGGAGGCTATTTTGAAGTTACAAGCTTTTGGTGTTTATTGAGAGTTCATCACCTGCTGACAGAGTCTGCAAATTCAGTGTCAGTTCTGTTTGATTGAAAGCCTGGGCTGAGAAGCAACTGAGTATAGATGCAATTTAGGATGTGAGAATTATGTAAAGGCATTTGAAGTGTGGCTTTTTACTGGTCTTGTTACAAGTATCTGAGGTAAGCCAGACCTTGCTTAAGATTTATGCTTTCAGTAGTCGTCAGCTTAGGATGGTAACACACTTTCTGAGCTTTGTAATTTGTCTACATGAAAAGAAAATGAATATGGGCTGTCTGCTGTCACTGGAATAAGCACAGTAACCTGACAGATTTGAATACCTGGTTTGATATGTTATCATTAATTGCTGGCAAAACATGGGAGACAAAACTCAGAATGTGGTGGTTCGTGTTGACTTTGCCTAAAGATACAGTGGGTGAGAATAACGACTGGATAGTGGTTTGGAATTTTTTTTTAATAATTGGTCATTTTCTTTCCTAGGAAATCTTAAAACTAGAAGGCAACGCTGGAATTCCAAGACAAAAAAGGGCAATTTTGGCAACTCCAATATTAATTCCTGAAAATCAAAGACCACCGTTCCCCAGACAAGTTGGCAAGGTAAGTGAACATAGACCTGGACAGGATTTTGTTATTAAGTAATTGATCTCCATCTCTTAGGGCTTTGCAATACCTGTCACATTGGTGGCAATATTCCAAACAGTGTTTGGAAATATCAGCCTGAATCAGGAAGATTGTTTTTCTGTCTGGGTTGGGTAGACAAACGACAGTGGCTTGTGCAGACTGGCAGTGGCTTTGTGCTCAGGACAGGCTCTCACAGCTCAGATGCTGGCCAAGGGCCTCAGTCAGACGTGGATGTTTTAAAGCAGCTGCTCTTCAGGAGAGTTTGCTGCCTGCCTGTGTGTCTGGATGCTGGATTGGAGCTCAGATCTTGGCCAGGAATGTTATGGAGAGTATCCCACTGCACATCTTGTTTCCATCTCATCTCCTAGAAGGAATTCATAAGATATTCCACGTAAAAGCATTTTTTTTGTTCATTCTTTACCTTAATTCATTGAGTTAATTTCTCATGGCAAAAGGCAAAATATATATTAGCAGATGTTTCCATTTTTAGTTTTGGTTCTTTGCAAAGGTCTGAAAAACAAGTGGAAAGTTTTTTTTCTCGTGCCTGCAGGTGATCAGAGAGGTGGGTATCATAACAGCCACTTTTCCAGAACTTCAGATATACAAAACAATAACAAATAAAGCACCAGGAATGGAGTTTGTTCCTAACTCCCATTGATATGATTGCTGGAGCCAAACACACAGCCCAAGGGCACGCTTTTACTCTACAATTGATGCCATTTAGCAATACAATCGTGTAATTAAGCCAACTGGCACCTAATCAGTTACTTAAATAATTAGGACAGTTTGTTTCCCTACCAGTAAAAAGAAAGAATAATCTATGAGGATTTCATTTTTCTCCCCTCTCTCCATCAATAATTTATAGTGGTTTCATAAATTTCAGTAGGTTTTCTATTTTTTGCCGTTTCCCAAACTTTCCAAAGCCATTTCTGAACGTTTCCCTCCACATTTCAGTCTTGGAGAATTGATGGCTGACAATAACTATTGTTTTGATAAATAGTTAATTTTGATGTTCAATTTTAAAGCAGAGAATGGAAAAGGTTACTTATACAATGTCTTCTTGTTGTTGTTATTGATTTATTTCTTCTTACCCTCTTCCACCCCTTGTGCTCCCGAACGCTGAATATTTGGGTCTCAGGCAGCCCGAGCTGCACTCTGGAAGAGCCATCACGGAGTGTTTTGATGGGAAGTTTAGGCTGATAGTTGTGGTGACTGAGGCTCCTGAAGCACAGTGAGATGAATCGGGTCCTGTTTGTACTGAAATGTTTTCCTCACATCCTGTCATCCTGATTTGCTGCCGTTCCTGAAGTGCTACTCAGGGATCGCAGGCGCCTCGGATGATGTACAAACACACGGGTGTAAAAGCATCTGGCAGGCGCTTTTTCAAGGGCCCTGAGAAACCTGTCCTCCACTGATGTTTAAATTACAGGAGCTGCAAATGATCAGCACCTTGAAACACTCTGAGCTGTCATAATTTTTACAGTTCTTTTTGGGATTCTTTTTTTTTTTTTTTTTTTTTTCCTCAGTGTAGTTCTAATTTAGGTATCAAGATGAGTATTTTGGCCGTAGTTACTGCAAGCAGAAAAATAGGTTGTAAATGTGTCACGTGAGACAAAAATGTTAGAGGTGTTTAAAACAATGGAATGTCACATTTTAGGTTGAACTGCAGTAACAAAGCACAAATAAAAAGCTTTGGAGTCTCAGACACACTGATGGGAGGGAAGAGAGTTTGTTGTTCCCTAACTAAGAAATTCAGTTGGAGTCAATGCAAAAATGACATTTAAATAAAATAAAAGTGATTCTTTTATTCTTTTTTGACTTGCCACAGATCTTCATAAGGTAGGCTGTGAGCTTTCTAAGTAGGATGAATGGCTGTACTGATCCAGATCACTGTTTCATGGACTTGTTTCACGGATCCTGCACAAACGGTAGAAAAAATTGGTCCTCTGTATCACCTAAATTTAGGTGTTTGTTGTGAAGTTTATGGATTTGAAAAAACCAGAACACTTCTGTAAGGCGTGAGGAACACATTTCCTCTTCCAAAATATTTTGGGTCTTGCCCAGGGCACCCCACGGTGCGTGATCGCAGCTTATGGTGTGGATGAATTTCTCTTGAGCTTCAGCTTTAGTGTGTCTGGTCTGGTGGGATCCCTGCAGGGGGACACTGCAGGTGTATTCAGTAGCTGTGGTTTTTTTCTTTTGCCTGTTTTAGGGAATTACTAGTGCATTTTATGCATCTGTCCTGACTGTCTCCTGCTTTCCACCCCATGCTATGCTGGCTGGAAAAGCGCAAGGTTGTTTGGAAGAGATTGCAGCAGCCAATAACTGAAATTCTTTTTAGCACTTAGTTGGGAGCAAGGCAGATGTGCAGAAATAGGAGAGAAGGGAGAGATCAATTAATTTTTATTCCACAATTAAGAAAAATAAAAAGCGACACACTCAAAAAAAAAAAAAAAAGGATTTTAGAGGACTTTGTTAAGGGTTGGTTATGTGTATCAGGAAGGAGATACTGCACTGGACAAGTGGAAACATTGCTTTGTTTACATTAATTACAAAAACTCAAATTAGCATTTAGTTTCACAAGGAAATACATGTGTAGAGGCTGTTCCTTGTGCTGTTCCTGCCTTTCCAGCAAACCCGCTCAGGAATTGGGTTATTGCCTTGCCATTTGCACACCCTTCATTAGGGGATCTCTTAATTAAATAACTATCATAGACATGCTGAGTTTGGAGGTGGAAAAAAATCTCACCTTTTAGCAGAATTTAAGATTTTGCATATTACCCTTCAGGCCTGAGGGAAAGCAGTGAGATTAAAATATTTGAATCCAGTCCTGGTACCGTGGGCCTTTGTGACCAGATGGCCCAGGCTACAGCTCGTGCCTGTTATGGATGTGTTTTGTTTAGCTCTTGCTGATATAGCACAGGGATATGATATTCAATTTGCAGCCTCTCTCCATATGTTGCTTTGCTGGTTCTGTGTCCACATGAAGCCAAATGAGACACAGAGCAGTGGGATGCAGGATTAGCTTGTCATTGCAGTGACAGGTTCTCCACCACCAGGCTATGGAACTGTTTCCTTAGACTGATTTAAGAGTGGTGGTTCTGTTCTCATCACCTTTAACTGTGGTGATGAACTGGATGATGGTTCTTGTGCAGTTTCATGCTTACACTGATGCAGAGATCAAAGAGCAGGAAGGTAACTGTGAGGATGGCCAAGAAGCTCCAGCCCTTTTCCCACACATTAGGAGAGAAGGGCACCTGCAAAGTGAGACTGTCCTTCTGCAGGCTCAAAAGATGTGCTCTCATGCAGCTGGTGGACATATGATGAATCAAGGATTCTATTCTTTAATTTAAAGGAATTGACCTTCGTAAGAGTGAGCATTGTAATTCTTGGCATGCAAATTCTGGAAGCCGTGAGTGGCCTGGGAAAAATTGGCAGGAATTTTTATGCTCGGGGAAGGTCAGAACACAGACAGGGAGAAACACATGAGACTTTGATGGAGACTGTTGAATAAACTAAAAAAAAAACACCTTGTTTTTTTGACAGTAGGTGAAAATGTTGTCTTAGTTGTTTGTCTGGTTTGTCCTTCTGGAAGGAAGGGGTGTTTCTTGAGGTATTTTGGATCAGAACTGTAAATGTCCTTCCTGCCTCTGATCTGGACTCTCAGCTGCAATGAGCTGGCAGGACTGACCCCAACAAAAGCTCAAGAGTAGAAGTGGTGCAGCCTAACAAGAAGGATAGAAATCTTTAAGATCTGTGAGGAAGTGGGGTTTTTTTGGGTGTTTTTTTTTCCTCCTCTGAGCTATGAATTTAAGGCAAAGAGAAAACACATCTTGTCTGTTAATGCAGCAGTCGAAAAAAACCTGGAGAGGGGAGGGAGCTAAAGATAACTGGATGGAAAAGCTGCTGGAAGCTGACTATTTTTTGAGTGGCTATCTTAGTGAGACTATTTATATAGGATAAATTATATGCTTCCCAGAAGAGAATTGTTATGGACTGAAGATGCAGCTGTAAAAAATGTCAAACTTCAGGCAAAAAAATTGAAAGGAAGTGTCGAGAGAGATGATCATGATCCATCAACCTGTGAAGAGAACTTGGAGATAAGGTTTATAGATTAGAGGAGGACACGTGAAAGACAAGAGAGGAACAAGAACGGCAGTGAAATAAAAGCTAAATTAAAAAGTGCTTTGGTTCTACTGGAAAATTAGGCAGAAAACAAGAGGGTAGGGGAGAGAGAGTCTGAAGAGAAATGGAGGAGGAAAGGAACTGGTAGCTTGGATGGACATATCCAAGGTCTGAGGGAAAAATATGCTGGGGTTTTATTCTTTATGATCCATTCGCTTGTTTTTGAATCATTTCCACCACAATGGAATGGTGAGGCTGTTCCAAAGAGGATGCTCAGAAAATGGGAGTTGGTATCAGCAAGAATTCTGACTTTTCCAAAAGGGAAGAGTCTTTCAGTGGCAGCTGAAGTGGTGCCATCAGGGAGGTGGGAAAATGATTGTCTCCTGGGAAGCATCACAAGGTGAGGGACTTTTTCCAACAGTAGATGGAATTACTCAGGAACAAGGAATTCAGGTTTCTTGAATCTGGTGGTGCACAAGGAGAGCACTCTGCTAAAGAAATGTCTATTATTCCACGCAGGAAAAGACACATCCACAGCTGAGGGATATCTAAACAAGCAGCCAACAAGGTAGAAATGTGCACAGGAAAGGTGGGAGGGGGGAAAAGGTGTTCTTGATGAATGGCACTTGGGGAATAAAGAGAGTATGAATAAAAGACAGTATTATAAATAAAAATCCAGCAAGAAAAAAAGATTGGGATTAGAGAAAAATCAAGTTCTGGTACTAGTACAGTACGATTGGGCAGAAATATATATGAGCTCAACTTGTTTGACCCAGCACAGGCATTTTCTGTAAACCCAGAGTGAGTGTAAAAATCACTGATGCAAAAGGAATACACTGGTGTAACAACTA